CAACAATACTCTGAGCAACATGAAATAAAGACAGGGATGGAAACAGTCCAGCCCTACCTCTGCTGGAACAAGAAAGCAGATGAGAAAGGAAACAGGAATCAGTATGGGGAGGGGTCATGGTGGGCAGGGTGGGCCAGTCTCCCAACATTTTCACAATATGCTAATGGAACATTAGCATAATGGGAACATTCTGACACCACTTGCAGAAAGAGAAGTCAGGGGTTCTTGATGTTACCAAGTGGGAGCGTGGGCAAATCTTGCATTGGTCAGACCCCCACAAGGGAGCAGGTTTCACACTGCGAAAAAATTAATCATGAACACATTTAGATCAGTCACATAAGTGCCACATTCTCAACAGCCCTTCACATGTTCAAAGTGTCCCTAGTGCCCCCACTCCTCCCCTCTTCAGGCCCTCCAGAGTCTTACCTTTAGGAGCCATTAAAGACGAATCAGAGCCCTGGGTACTGCCATTGCCTGGGGACAGAACACACAGGACGTGATCAGAACCACAGGGGTTGATACTAAAGGAGCAGCTATAGGGGGTGGGGGCAGTGAGCTCCCCATGGGGTCCTGTCTACACTATCCCAGGGTGCCAGGGATCACCCCCTCCATACTTACGTGCAGCGAGAGAGTAGCTTGGTCCTTTTCCTCCTGTGGGAAGAAAATATCATGTTACAAACCTGGGACAGATGGGCCATGAGATCCTAGAGCAACTTCCTAGTCCTGGTCCAAAATGAAGTTTCCAGAATTTTGACTGAAGACCCAGGACAGGATCGGGAAACATGAAGAAAGGCAGGATCTGACCCACCTGACTTTGTGGAGGTCTGTCCTTAGCAGGGACCTTCCTCTGTGTCCTGTCACTGCTGGGAATCAGGTCCCCATCACCAGAATTACCAAGTGAAAATCTGTCCTTGATTTTCACAAGTGCTTTGTTACAGAGTGAATATTAGTAACGGCTCCAGAGTGGGCAGGTACATGTGTGTGGATGGAACTTCCCAGGAACCAGGCAGGACAATGTGCTACCTAGGAAACCCCCCAGCGGGACAAGTGAACTCAGATCCCCCCACTCTATTCCTACCTGAGAACTTCTTCCTCCAGATCACAGCTCCAACCACCACAGTGACCACAAGGATAGCCACACCAGCCATGATGCCCAGGATGGGGATGGAGGGCTGAGAGGATGGTTCTGGAAAGGGAAGGAAGGTGAGGGGCCCAGACCTCTGGCTTCAGTCTTCACTTTGTGAAATTCTCCAGAAGGGCCTTGCTTTCTCTGACACGGGGCTCTACCCCAAACCCTCCTTACCCCATCTCAGGGTGATGGGCTCAGGCAGCCCCTCGTGCTGCACATGGCACGTGTATCTCTGCTCCTCTCCAGAAG